TATCACTGAGTTAGGTTTTTATTATGACCAAAAACAATTGAAGAAACACAGCTATTTGGTTCAATGGTCTCTTGGTTTTATTGAATTTTATCACTTGAAAGCGTTCTGCACCTTCAAGAATCTATTATGGTATGAATTTGTTTTGTTCTGTTTTGGGATGTGTTTTTTGAATGAATTGCATAAATTGAGAGAAAGAACAGAAATTGATTATGTCTTGAGGTGGAGGACACCTCCAAAAGTGATTGGAGAGTTTGTAATTTTCATGAGAATGCCAATATTTTAAAATAAGTTTGATACTGTGAAGGCTGTGTTGGTGCCGTGAAAAGGGTTCTTGGAAAACTTGAAGGTTTGTTGAGAGCTCCTGCATTTATCTAGTTCAATTGTCTTGTTCTTCTTCTTCTCTGAGACTTTGCTTCTTTTATCGTTTGTAATATACTATAAGAATAGTAGAGTCCATACTTAAGTTGATTTCATATTATCTTGATAATTATGGGATATGTTCTTTCTTATCATCTTCAGGCGTAGAATCATATGACATTGATTTTGATGCACAGAAAAGTGACGGTGAAAAGCAATTTACCACCTGAGACAGTCCTTCAAACCGTTTCCAAAACTGGCAAGAAGACTGCCTATTAGGAAGCAGAAGCACCAACAAAGCCTGAAGCAAAGCCTGCAGAAGCGGTGGCTGCTGCTTAGTCTTGGCCTATTTAACGTGGAAGTAGTCTTTACCAGGTATGGTGTCTTGTAAACAATCAAGTACTCGTTCAACTTTTCCTTTTCTTTCTAAAAAAGAATAAATAAATAGTATACCCGAGCGGCTATACCCGGGACTCCTTTTAAATTTTTTAAAAATAAATAGTATAGCCGCGCGGCTCTACTATTTATATATTTGAATATTTTAACAGTACAGCCGTTCGGCTATACTCGTGGAAAAAAAGGGCAACCAGACGCAAGACGGGTCCTTTTCTTAAAAAAATAATAAATAGTATAGCCGAGTGGCTATAGTGGGGTCACTCTTAAAATGTTTTTAACAAATTGTATAGCCGGGCTATACTCTTTAAATATATTTGAATATTTTAAACGTACAGCCGGGCGGCTATACTCCTGGCAAAAAAACTGCCACCCAGGCGCAAGACGGGTCCTTTTCTTTTTTTAAAACCCAAATACTATAGCCGCGCGGCTATACTGCGGTCCCTTGCTTAATTTTTTGGGTATACTAGTGATTTGTCTCCTGAACTTGTACCCAACTTTTGATTGACCCCTTATCATTTTTTTAAAGAAAATTAAGGATGTGAACTTTTTGTTTTTGTCAATTTCCCCCCTACTGTCTAAATTCTCAACATTTCATCCAATTTTCAGTTAAATTTTTTTTTTTTTTTTTTT